TCAGTCTGTGGAGAATTATGGACGCGAGTAATTTGGAGGCGATGGAGATCAGACTGATTCCTCTATGGTTGCCGCATTCCGAGCCCGAGCCGCCTTTGAAGATGGGAACAATAAGGGAGCGGCTCCAGTCGGTTAGGACAGTTTCCTGCTCCCACAGTTTCACCAGTAATTCATGCAAAGCATCAACAAGAGCAGAGCTTCCAAATTTGAAGAGGGCTGGAGGAAGATCATCTGGTCCCGCGGCTTTGTTCAACTTCAACAGTCCGATCTCACGTTCGACTTCTGAGCGAGAGGGTGGATCTAAAGGGACAGCCCACGGAGCAAGGCGATCAGTGACCGGCGAATCGAACAATTCTTGCCGATTAAATTGCTTTTCAAAATGCTCAGCCCAACGCTCCAAACGTTTTGACAAATTGTGGATAGGCTGTCCACTCTCGTCACGTATAGTTTCACTAACACCAGGTCTCCTGCTGCCCGTTTCCCGTATCAGACGGAATAACTTACGATGGTTGCCAAGGGCAGCGGCCACTTTCATCTCTGACGCACGATGAGACCACCAAGATTCGCGGTCTCTCTTCAGGCTAGCACGGAGTTTTGCCCGGAGCTCTTTGCGAGTTTCATTGTGCTCGCTTCCAGCCGGGATTTGCCGGCGAGCATCTATAAGTTCCAGAGACTGCGAAGAGACCCAATGTTCATGCTGGCGATTAGACATACCACATGCGGATATGCCTGCTGCTAGTAAGGTCTGGCGAACATGCGACCAGTGACCATCAATTGTCTCCTGTGAGCGCTCGCTCAACTCGCATGTTAGCGTACTTCGATACGCATTCAGAACAGCTGGTTTTGTCAGTTGGCTGGTGTCAATACGCTCACAGCGTCGTCGTGGGCGTCCGCCAAAACGCATCCGCATGTCAGCACATACAAGTGCATGATCGGTGTCCACACATGTGCTCCAAATCGAGCGACAATTCTGGACGCAGCCTCTCCAGCGGTAACTGATAGCAATGTGATCGATCTGCGTCCAAGGCTGGTTCGAGGTTGGTGAGCGCCAAGTCACCCTTCGGCGGGTGCTGTGTCTGAAATTAGTGCTCGCAAGAAATAAGCGAGCATCTTCACACAAAAGAAGTAACCGCTCACCGTTACCATTACGGGAGCCTACACCGTGTTGACCGCCCAGATGCAGTTCATCAGTGGACAACTTTCCAACTTGTGCGTTCATATCCCCCGTCAGCACAACAGTGTCCGTGCTTCTTCTGTGGCGAAGGAGCTGGGTCAGTTGGCAGTAAAAGTCGTTATTTACCGAATCATCGCTACAGTTTGTGGGCGCATAGGCAGCGATGATGAATAGACATCTATTAGTCCCGCGCGACTTCGAAGCTTTGAACGAGCCAGCCAATCGGACCGCACATGTCCAACTACTGATTGGAATCCAATCAACCAGAGCAGCTTCAGCCCGGGGACTCAGGGCAATACCAACACCGGCTTGGCCGGTGCTCGAAGCTGCATTGTCACCGGATAGGCGCAAGGAGAAAATACTGCTTGCGCCCCCTGAAGGGGATCGCAGAGTGAGCACAGTGCTCGAGTCTTGCAGGCGAGTCTCTGATAAGCAGCAGATATCGATCGAGAGGGTCTCCAATGTTCGGGCAAGTGCTGCCTGTTGACCGATTTGTAGCAGTGTGCGTACATTGAGGCATGCCAATCTGAAGGAGGATCGAGGGCTCCAAATGGAAGCCGATGAACTGGATTGGACCGCTTGGTTGGACATGGGTTTGTCGACAGGGGAGGAGTGACGCTCCGCGTTCACGTGTGAGTTGAAACTAGAAGGTAAATGCCTAGCAAAGCATGTTGGGGGAGGGCCAAGAATCGGGGGGTTGAAAACTGGGGGGATATAAGTGAAGTTGGAATGGGACGGTAAGAGTGAAAAAGCGTAAGAGGGGGAATAAGAAGACGGGAAGGCTTGAGCAGTAGCATCCAAACCCCTATTCACCCTGCTCGATGCAGCAGATAGGGCACCGTTTATTATCCTCTGCGGTGGCCAGAGCATCAAGAAATTGTTTGAAGGAAAATTCATAGTATTGCGTGGGCAGGATACTGTCAGGTTGCCCAGGCCTAGACAGGAGAACGATTAGGGTTCTCAACCAAAGCGTTTGGTTCAAAAACCTGACCGCAAGGCAGCTGCTTTAGCAGTGGACTACAAGGAGTCCATTTTAAGGAATAAGGTGCCACCCTCATTTCAACCCCCAACCTGGAGGTCCAGGAGGCTGAGTTTGTCTGGCCTCTAACCATTGACCAATCTGGTATGAGTGACTCTGAAGGTGCAAAAGCACCACCCAGCGTAGCTCAATGGATCGCTGAGGCACACAAACCATCGCACCACGGTAAGGTCCAGCCTCATTGCGATGAAGAAGGAGTACCAACAAAGGCTTCGTGAAAATCGCACTCTCTTTCCCACTCCGGATATCGATCAACACTGGTCAAGTCTGCAACAAGCCATGCTATCGGCCGGTTTGTCCAGTTGTGACCTCGCTCGCTCCACTCCCAAAAGCTGGATCTCGGGAAGATCCTCGGAATTGCTGGATCACCGAAGGGCGGTGTCTGCTGGCGCAGAGCACAACGAACAGCGTCAGTCTATTAGGCAACAGCTGAAAGCAAGCCTTCGCTCTGATCGTGAATCGTGCTGGTCAGAACAAGCTGATGAGATAGAAGCCGCTGCATCAGATGGCAACTTCCACCGTCTATTTTGCATCGTCAGGACCACTAGTTGCAATTCGCACGCTGTCAGCCAGACGATTTGCGAATCAGACGGCACGAAGATCGCAAACCTTAACAGGCGATTGGGTCGCTGGGCAGAGCATTTCCTTCTACAATCCAACCACCCAACACAGCCCCCTGTGGCACCTCCAGCCCCAATGGATGATGCATGGCTTGTCCCCACAGTTCCTCCGAATGAAGCAGAGATCCGAGATGCAATCCAATCTTTGAAACGCCACAAGGCTCCGGGTCCCGACAGCCTACCACTGGCTCTATTCAAAGATGGCGGGTGTGTACTTGTCAGCGAAATCCTATCGCTGTTCAAGAAAGTCTGGACTGAGGAGAAGGTTCTGAACTCATTGGGAGAATCGGTCATTGTTCCGATTCACAAGAAAGGCTCCCGCGACGATTGCTGTATGTACTGCGGAATCTCGTTGTTCTCAATCGCATCCAAAATCATCGTGTCTGTCCTACTTCACAGGCTTTCAACGGCTAGAAAGAAGTTTTCTCGAGAAGGATAAGCCGGATTTCGTCCATGCTGGGGCTGCCTCGACCAAATCTTCACACTGTGCCAACTTCTGGAACTCTGTCACATCCACCGGCGACCAACAATCGTAAGGTTCTTGGACATCCGAGCAGCAGTTGATTCAGTGGATAGATCTGCGTTGTGGAACTGTTTACTGAAGAGAGATGTGCCCGGCAAGTTTGTAACCATCCTGAAAGAACTTTACAACCACACGTTGAGCAAAGTCAGGACTTATGACACGCTCACTTCGTCATTTGCTGTGACTAGCGGTGTTCGCCAAGATTGCCCTATTTCACCTTTCCTCTTCAATTTCGCCATCGAGAATGTTATCCAAAGAGCACTGGAAGGTGTCCAGAACTGCGGTATTGAGCTCCGCTCTAGAGACAGAGTTACGGACTTGGACTACGCCGATAATATCGCCTCGCTGGAGAACGACCCACAATCCGTCCAGAGCGCTTTGGACCGCTTGGCGACGGAGGCGTCTAAGTCCGGTTTGTGCTTCGCTCCGGGAAAATGAAAAACGCTGCTCCAGTACTGGCAGGTGCCTGAACTCGCGCTCATCATTGCTGGACATGTTCTGGAGCAAGTTCCTTGCTTTACTTATCTAGAGAGTTGCGTAACGGTTGGTGGCGATGTTGGAGATGAAGTCTCACGACGGATTGCAAAGGCCCACCTTGCATTCATCAAACTGAGACACCTATGGTGTCATCGTGAAGTCAGTCTCAAGCTCAAGAGCAGGGTGTACAATGCTTTCGTCCGTGCAGTACTCTTGTACGGTTATGAGACGGCCTATTCGCTCGGAAGACATGAAGCGGTTGTCAGTCTTCGACAATTGCTGTCTACGAAGGATTGCTCAGGTGTGGTGGTAACACTACGTAAGCAACGCAGAGATCGAGACGGAGTGCTTGGAGCAAGTAGTGCCAGTCTTCAGAACGTTATTCTCCGACATCGCATGCGTTGGCTCGGGCACGTTTTGCGCACGCCAGCCTATTGCCTTCCTGGTCGAGCGCTATTTGCACTCCCAGAGAGCGATTGGAAAAAGTGCCGCGGTGGAGAGCCAATGATGTAGAGAAGGAGCATGAAGAAGGCAACCTAAAGTTTGGTGGCAGTCGGACCAGTCCGTCTTCTAGGTTGGGGACCACGAGATGCTGAATCTGTGGTTGGAAACATTGGATGTCATGGCCCGCAACAGGCATCAGTGGCGTCAATGTTGTTCTGCCATTTTATCCTCCCTTTAATGCACACAAAAACTCACGAAACAATCACAAAATATCAAAATGGCGTGTGTAAAATCAAAAAAATCGTTTTCCATTTTTTATCGCATTTCGTGTTTCTATTTTCTCCATATTTTCTTCTGCCATGGTTCGGATGGCACTATGTCTGTTAACAGACTATATATATATATATATATATATATATATATATATATATATATATATATATATATATATATCCAATAACACGAGTACAGTGGAAAAGGTTTGGCCTGAAGTGCATAGTGGTGAATTCGAAGGACCTACTCACGTCGGGCAGGCTAGATTGGGTGACATAATGTTCAGTAACTGTATAGGTGAAAAAAAACGCAAACTGGTTAGAAGGTAACTAAAACGCGTGCGTAAGTAGGGGGCAACAGTGCGGAAAGGAGAAACGTGTAAAACAAGAAACATATAACATCGCTTAAGGCAAACAAATGGAATAAAGCCATCAATTCACAAGTACTCACCTTGGATGGCTCGCAACAAATGGAACAACTCGCTGTCTGGAGGAGCGCAGTCCAAGGGGCTGCGGTTCTTTCTGTCCATTAGCAGAGGATCTGCACCATGGGCAAGCAAAATAGTGGCCATCAAAATGTCATTCCTCTTGGCCGCCATATGAAGCGGAGTTTTGAGCTTCCGGCGACAATTGACATCGGCACCTAATAACATAAGATTAACCAGTTGGTTGTCAAAATGAATGGCTATTCTCATATTCAGCACGCTAGAGGGTTAGCCAGAGATGAGAAACAAGTCAGAAATGGCGCAGCAATAAAAGCAACAGATCGTCAAGAAAAAGAAACACAAAACAGGAAATGTCGCGCTATGTTTTTGTTATGTGTCAAAAATAAACTCATAGTTGGAAAAGGAAGCTAATCAGGATGGGGAGGGATAAAGAAAGTTATAACACAAACGACACGAACCGGCGCTTCAAAAAATGTCCCAATCCAAACGTGTCTGTTGTTTTTCGGAGTCAAACCAAAGAGTCGCGAGGCACAAACCGTTGTACTGCTGCTTTGCTTCACCTGCGAGACTGCGACCGACTGTCTGCTCAGCCACGCGCCCAGCCACCTGTAGGAATACAAAAGACCAATGCTCGGTAGAAAGGGTATATTCTACAGGATAGGTCAACTCTACTTATTGGTGTACGAAACAGTAAGTTTGGAAGCACATGCCACCCACCCTTCTGCGTCTGATCCTCAGCCAATGTGAGTGAATTCCGTCCCACAGGTTTTCCATATTGGGCAGAATGGTTCGCCTCCTTTGATACGGGCTTGTATTTGCTGGCCAATCAATTCGCACCCAATTCCGATATTTGGCGAAACAGTCTACGGTCGTTACACACCCGTTAGAATTATAAAATGGTATTTAATAGAACAAAGAGCTGATGAAGCTAAAAAAAGGGAGAATAATGAAATCACGACAGTCAGAAACGCAAGAATCTTGATCGATAAAGTCGACTAATTATTACACATGAGAGAGAGCACGTGTTGGTTGGTCAGTGGAATGCCTAGCGCATCATCTGATCGCTGTCAGCGCACAAAGTGAGAAGCTGGCAAGCAAATTAGGGCGAAGGTAGAAAAAGCCCTTGCAGCAAACCCTTGTTTCCATAGTTCCGGTTGTGTTATCCTAATCGCGATCGCTTCGGGTGTCCGTAAGAGTTGCTTCCTAAGGCCTTTAGGGTACCGTTCCGGTACAACATAATGTACTTAGAGGACAAAAGCTTCCCTAATTTAGTGTCCGCTTCCACCAGATGTTCCAGGATGGAACTGTTGGTGCGAATGACCATGTCCTACCGCAAAGCCGATGGGCAGTGCTCCGCTATGCGTTTAGACAGACATCTGGTTGATAAAATCATTGGTTGACCTCATCGCTCTTACTTCCATCCAGATCCTTGAGGGAGTCAGTGTGCTGTTGTGTGTAACACGTGGTCTAGCCATCGGAACTTGGCGAGTAAAAAATAACGGTGCTAAGCGGTTCACTCGCCGTTCCTGCGCCAGAAACAACGTAGGGAACGCGCCCACACGGTGTTCGTACCAGACATGAGGTCAGCTGCGAAGGCATCATTGGTCGATTACAAATAGCCTGTTCATCTGAGGGACTAGATTTCGCAATAACACAATAGAAGTGGGAGCGGATGGCGGCATATAAGACTTTAATCTTCTCATCGACGGCGACGTCGCGTCGACGCCATAACTGGCGATGTGGAAAAGTGTCTAAAGCCTTTTTTATACAGTTTATCAATTCATCTTCTATTCCACAAGTAGTAATATAGCTACCTAGGTAGCTCAACTTTAAAACAACTTCCACCTAATCGCCACCAAGAGTCCGTGCACAGATTGTTCTCTGCCAATCATGAAGAAGAGATCTTCCTATTCCGAAACGAATGACTGCCAGTGTTAATCTTCCAGTGCATCCTGATATGTTTGTGAGCGATCACAGATTATGGCAATGTCGTCGGTATATTCAGAATCAATAAGTTTGCCACCTGCGAGCAGCTCCACACTTTCCAAATCTTATCAAGTGAACGCGGTTTTCAATACTTACTCGACAACAAGTTAAAGAAAAAGGTGACAGCGGGTAGCCTTGTCTCACACAGCTATGCCTATTTACCCCAAGTCCTCACTCTAACCAAACTACTTGCGTGAACCGCTCTGACAACGTACACATTTCTCCGGCACACCTCTCCTAAGCAGACTCTATCATTATAATTATTAGTATACAAGTTAGTTAGAGGTGGGAAATACCTCAGCTTACTGTGCCGCAACACAAAAGAAGAAAATGGGAAAATGCAGCAGATGCAAGCCAGCTGAGCTACCGGTAACGGATGGGCATCGTTCTGGAAGCTACCAGCCAGCTAATATTCAGTAAAATTATATAAGGCTAAGTAGTGAGATCGTGGTTGGAGGGGGGAGCTAAGACGGATGGGGTGGGACAAGGAAACTAACAGCACGAAAGCCACTGAGGTCGGCATCTAGCCAGGTCAGTAAGTGTATTCAAGCAAAGGTTTCCATCGTCTTTCGGACCCCAACCAGGGAGCCGAGAGGATCGAACCGAGGCCAGCTTCGAAGTAAGAGCCTTCATTCCTCTTGGCCAGATCATGGCTTAACCACCACACCTCTTCTTGCATCCGCGCCCCGGCGAGCAAACAACGCACGTCGCGGGAGTCGGTAGGCTGGCAGGTGTAACACGTGACCCAGCCATCCGAGCCTGGTGCGTGAAATAACGGTGCTAATCGGTCTAATCGCCCTTTCTGAGATGTAAATAAGGCATCGAACACACTCGTTGCTCACTCGGTGTTCACACCAGATATGAGCCAAACTGCGAGAGCATCGGTGGTCAAACCCAACTAGGCTCTTCACGTCGGCTGATCTAAGGGGCCAGGTTTCTCAACCGTACAGTAGGCTCCAACTTGTCGCTGCATTGTACACACTACTATCCAGGGCGAGAGTGACGTCGCGCCGGCGCCATAAGTGGCGAAAGTTAGCAAAAGCAAATGGAGCTTTTGCTATACGGTTCGTGATCTCATGTTCAATCACAGAGGTGCTGATACAAATTATCAGGTAGTTGAATTTTCGAACGACTTCTAGATGATCCCAAACAAGAGCAGGTGTAGGAGGGGGTACAAGCCAATCTTGGAGGAAAGTTTGCACTTCGAGGGCGCGAAGCAAAGCCCGAAGTCACGGATAGCCAGTGCTAATCTGTCCAGCGCAGCTCAGCACGTTTACAAACTGTCACAGGTTAGGACAGCACATTCCAAGTCAAGAAGTCGACCTCCTGGGAGCAGATCCACACCTTCTAAGTCATGTCCTGTGAACGCGATATCCATGACTTCGTCAATAGCGAAATTGAAGAGGAAAGGTGACAGCAGGCAACCTTGTCTCACACTGCTGGATTTATTGAAGGGCGACGACAGCTGGCCGTAAGCCCTCATCCGGCCCGAGCTACGTGCGTATAATGCTCGGACAACATTTACATTCTTCTCAGGTACACCTCTCCTGAGTAGACAGTCCTAAAGGGCACATCGATCCACCGAAACAAAGGAACCTTTGATATCGAGGAACACGACAACAGCGGGCCGCCAATATATGTGAGGGTGCCCCAACAACGGACGCAAAGTGGATATAGTCAATGCAGCAACGACGTCGGCGAAACCCGGCATGCTCTTCAAGGTGGCTTTCACGAGCGCCAGCGTCTGTGAAAGATTACAGAGGCAAGCAATTTTAAGGCGATGGAGATAAGAATGATTCCACTTTGGTTGCCGCATTTTGATAGTGAGCCACCCTTGAAAATTGGGACTATGACGGAGGGGCTCCAGTCGGTTGGGTCAGTTCCCCGCTTCCACAGTTTCACTAGTAATTTGTTCAAAGCATCCATAAAAGCTAGTCCCCCGAATTTGAAGAGAGTTGGAGGAAGATTATATGGTCACGCGGCTTTATGCTATTGCAACATTCTGATCATATGTCCGACTTCTGAGCGAGAGGGCGCATGCCAAGTGAAAGCACAGGGAGCTGGGCGATCAGCGACAGGAGAGAAATCTGACCATTCCGACCGATTAAATTGCCGTGCAAAGTGCTTAGCCCAACGTTCCAAGCATTTTGACAAGTTGTGGATAGGCTGTCCACTCTTGCCACGTATCGTTTCACTAACACCAAGTCTCCTGCTGCCAAATTCTATATAGGACGGAACAACTTCTGGTGGTTAGCAAGGGCAGTGGCCATTTCTATCTCTCATGCACGATGAGACCACCACACTTCACGGTCTCTCTTCAGGCTAGCACGCAGTTTTCCCGGTTAGCTGTGAATCTCATTGCGTTAGCTTCCAGCCGGAATGTGCCGGCGAGCATCGATAACTTCCAGAGACTACAAAGAGACCCAATGTCCACGTTAACGATCCGACTTAGCACATGAGGATTTGCCTGCTGTTGAACATGAGACCAGTGAGCTTCAGTTGTATCCAGTGAGCGCTTGCTTAACCTGAACACCAGCGTAATTCGGTACGCATTCAGAACACCTGGCTTCGTCAGATGGCTGGTGTCTGAGCTCACAGCGTCCTTGTAGGTGTCCGCCAAAACGTATACGCAGATCAGCACATACAAGTGCATGGTCAGTGTCCCCACATGTGATCTAGGTCGAGCGATAGTTCTGAACGCAGCCTCGCCAGCGGTGAGTTATCGAAATGTGATCGATTTGCGTTCATAGTTGGTTTGAGGGTGGTGGGAACAAGTCACCTTCAGACGGGCGCTGTTGGAAATTAGTGCTCGCAAGGGATAAGCGAGCAATCTCACATAAATGAAGTAAGCGCTCACCGTTTTCATTACGGGAGACTACACTATGTTGGCACTCAACATGCAGATCAGCAGTGGATAATTTTCCTACTTCAACGTTCAGATCCTCAGCCAGCACTACAGTGTCCGTGTTTCTTCCGATGTGAAGGAGCTCGTTCAGTTGGCGGTAGAAGTCGTCTTTTACCGAATCATCGCTACAAATTGTGGGTGCATAGGCAGCAATGATGAAGACACCTGTTAGTCCCACGCAACTTGGAAGCTTTGAACGAGCCAGCCAAACGGACCGCACACATCCGGCTGCTGATTGGGATCCAAGCAACCAGAGCAGCTTTAGCCCGGGGACTCAAGATAATACCAACACCGGCTTTGCCGATA